TAGCTCTGTCGTGTTTTAGCTTGAAGATGCTATCGTTTGGCTCTTACACCACATCCTCCGGAAGTGCATTTCAGAAATTCGCCACCCTCCTCCACAGACGATAGATCAGCGGCAGAAGGTTTGACTGCATCTTGCGGAGTGTCAGTGCGTGTCACCTGATGCGGTTGTTGTTCCTCAGGGGGCATTTCAACTGCAATTCTGGGTCAAAGATGCGTCTGGTGTAGATCAGGTCGCCTCTCAGTCGTCTGTATGACATGGGGAACAATCCCGTTGCACTCAGTCTGCCCTCGTAGCTGATCCCACGTAGTCCGACGGGGCGTGTAGCAGCCCTTTGAACTTTCTCCAGTTGGGCAACCTCAAAAGCCGTACAAGAAAAGACCACCGGACCGCCATATTCCAATCGGGGTCGTACGTCGGAGGCAATTTGAAGGCCTCCAGGGATAAAGGACCAAATGAACGGCGGATAGCACCCAAAATACTCCACAGAGAGGCACAAGCTTTGTCTGTCTGTGAAGGAGTTTTCAGGTTGCTGGTGCCAACAACACCCAAACCTCGTTCTTCAGTTGATTACCGGAGCACGGTACTTCCAAGAAGGTAGCTGGTGGTGAGGCCGTGCACCGACAGATCAGGTCAGATCACACGACTTTAGGCTTCGGTCAGTAAACGTCCAGGTTCTTGCACTAGTGAGCTGGTGGTGCCCACTGTGCTGCGACTGCCACGTAGTTCACAGTTGTGTTGGGTGTTGTACCTACAAGAAAAGAGAGAGCAGGATCGCCCTCGGGGAATCAGCAGTCTCAATCATTTGACAGGCGCCGCACCTCAGCGGACTGCTATCCCTGCCATGAGAGCTTCCCGGGGGCTAAAAAATGTTATGGTAATTGTGCGCGAGGTGAGTGAGGTAAAGGAGTGATGGTGAAATAGATAAAAGGCTATATAAAGAGTCTGTGGGTAGTGACTGAGACTTGTGCTAGTCATACTCTGGAAACACCTTGTCCCAGCAGTTGTCTAGTCTCCGTTTGAATTGCAGAACATTAGTTGCTGCTACTACTATAGATGGAAGCTTGTTCCATACGTTTACCACGCGGTGGGAGAAAAATTGTGCCCTGGCACTTCCGTTGGCCCATGGTTTCATCAGCTTCAAGACATACCCTTCGAGGGTTGGATTGAGTTTTAGCGTAAACAAGGACCCATCTGCTATTGACAGCTCTTTGAGTTGTTTGAACGTCTCAATCAAGTAACCCTTCAGGCGACAGCGGTCAAGGGCCGCCAGTCTAACAGTGTATGACTTATCCTGCAGTCCACGGATCATCCGAGTGAACCTTCTTTGCACTGCCTCAAGCAGTTGTTTATCCTTTACTAGGGGAGGGGCTCACTCCTGGACACAGTACTCCAGATATGGTTGCACAAAAGCCTTATACAGTGGCAAGAGTACTTTAGCCTCTCTCGATGTTACGGTTCGGTATAGTAGGCTCTATTGGCCTTCGCTGCGGCTGCCCCGCATTGCGTTGAGGGTTTAAAGGATGAGTAGATCTGTACCCTTAGATCTCCGACCACATCGGTAGATTCTATGGCGTCCGTCGCCCCAGCGTCTAGTTTACGCACCTCCACTGCCCTTCTGTTTAGCAGCAGGTGCCTGCATTTGCTGGCGTTGAGTGGTAGCTCCCATGTGCCCGCCCAGCCATGAATTGCATCAAGTGTCTCCTGTAAGTCCCCCCATGATGGATCCCCCACTACTTCGAGGTCACCCACGAATAAGAACCCGGAGCTCCGGAAGACCTCAGTGACGTCAGTAACATACAGCACAAACACTATGGTACCAAGGACTGAGCCCTGAGGTACCTCACTAAAGGCTGCTGCTGTTTCCGAGGTTTCCTGTTCCACCCTTACGCGGAACGTCCTCTCGTGTAGGTACGCCTCTATCCACCTGACTACCTGCTGGTCTACCCGCAGGGCTTCCAGTTTTCACAGCAACTAATGGTTAACCGAGTCGAAGGCTTTCCTGAAATCAAGGTAGCAAACTTCGACTTGATCCCCTGCGTCCAGAAATGATAGTAGGTTAGTGAGGCACAACATTTTGTTGAAAAAGCCGTGTTGATGGCCAGCTACAAGGTGTTGGTCGCCCAAATATCCCACCAACCTCGAAGGTTTTCAGGACTACCGAAAGTAGGCTTACTGGTCGATAGTTCGATGCAGCCGTCCTTGACCCACGCTTGTTGATTGGCACTTCTGTCGTGATCCAGTCGGACGGCAGTGTTGCTGAGGCAAGGGATCGGTTGAAAAGCTGAGCCAGAGCACCCGCAAACAAAGTTATCCTGAATCGAACTAGGGTTAGGATCACTATCTGAG